GTCTATGGGGATAGATTCTTGTGACATTCTGAAAAAGGAATAATGATTTAAATTAAGTATGGTAGTGTGAAGGCGGGGACAAGACCTTCGGAGAACTGGCCTCATAACTAGTGCCAAGGTGAAGAACATAACTAAAACCAAAGTGACAGGTGAGGCCCTGCTAATGCCAAGTGGCGATGAGAGGCTCTACCTATGATTTTGGCCGAGGGAAGTCAATGCCCCTTGAATGTGGTGGCGGGATGTTGGCCTCTCGTTGACCGTAGGATATTCCCTAGCTGTTGCCGTAAAGAAGGGCGAGCGAGGAGGCTAACTATGATTTTGGCCGTGGGGCTGAACCTCCGTGTTGAGATGGGGAGTAGGCCTCGCGAATTTAGTTAGGGATGCTAAGGCCAGCACCTATCCCTAAATGCCAGTTCTCTAACCTGATGGGGCTTGTCTCCTTAATGATTTGCCCGAACATATGTAGATACCAACCTTGAGTATTACTCTTATTGCTTTGTCCGTGACACAGAAGGTCTTGAATATAATTTGCTTCTGAAGAAAACAGGTCTGGACAAGGTATCCTAGGGATAAGGTAGATGCTAGTGGGCCTGAGGAATGCCACTGGTATGCATGATGTATGTAAAAAGATGACAAACGTATGAAGAGATGTGTATCAATGATACCGTAAGGTAAGAACCCATGTAAGATGAGGGCCGTGAACGTTGGTCCATATTTAGAGACAAGCCCCGGATTACCACGATTAGGTAATGTAATGACAAGAAGGCTGAGTGAGGCCTTTAAGAGAATAATAATCGTAGTGAGTAAGATTAATAATACCTGGTACTGAAATACAGGAAACCAGGTTGGCTGTTGGTAGTTGTTAGCGTAGAAACTTGAAGAAACTGCGGTATTGATGGAGGTCTATGTAATGATATGTAGAAACAACAAACAAGTGAAGTATAGTTATGAAATAGTAGTAGCAGATAGACATTGGTTAGGAGGTGATTGTTGGTGAGATCATAGTGAGGGGTCTTGAACGTGGCCCATGTAGAAGTTAGAACTCGCGTGGGGGGGGGAGTGGCTGAATGAGGCCGTGGAGGCTGAATGAGGCCTCAGGGGACTAAAAATTTAACAAATAAACCACTATACCTGATACTGTAAGACAGGATACTGGGATGACACTTCCTGAAGTCTACTTGAAGGAAATGTAGAGGAGCCTAAAATCATACACATGGCTAAGTATTGGAATCAGTATGAAGTTTAGGAAAAAACTGTGATTGAGCAATCGTGCCTATGGTCGGTACTGAGCCTGGTGAAAAAGGAACCGTGGTGGTTGCATATGGGAGATATGCGTGAAAGGTTTGTGAGAGCTTAACCTATTGGTATGCTACAATGAGATAATGAACGTATGATTTATTATGAGAGAAATGTAGTTAAATGAAAGACTAGTCGTGCAGTAGTGTTAGCTAAATTGCCTGAAAAAGTGAATCAACAGTGCAGAGTGACATTTAGGATGAATCCCCTAGGATGTGTTCTTCCCAGTTAGTACCTTTAAGTGGGTTTCGTAGTATATATGATAAATGTGTCCCATTTAATTCTAAACATAGCCATGGCATGCTAATTTGTACAGGTTAGACTTAATACTGTTTACAATAACATGTTATACACCAGACCGAAAATTTAGTGAAAGGCTGTATGATAAAAGTGGTCTGTTCATTCGTATGAACGAACGGTATAACAGCTTAACATGGTGCCAGTTAAGAGATTTAAGCAGTAAAATAGGCTGTGTTCGGCTTAAAACGAACGAATGGAAAATAACTGTATGCAGACATGGTGCTTACGGTCGGCTGTTAGACCGCACAAAAGTATAAACAAAAGCAAAAGGACTCTGCGGTCGGCTGTTTAGCCGTATGGACCACTGAAGTACACGAACGGGTAATTATGCACGAAACAGGTAAGTATTAGTGAAGGGAGCCTATCCCCGCGTTTTTAGGCCCGGACATGGGAAATAGCCAAACGCTATTTCCCACATTATGCTTACGTGGATGTGCCGGTTACCAAAGCTGGTGAGAAGCGGGGGGCGGCAAGCACGGAGGTCGGAGGCGGAGGAAACTGCTGGCAAAAATTTTTGGGTGGGAACTTCGGACCGGAAGTGCTGGTTGCTAAGGAAAAGTCAAACAGCTTGAACGGCAGAGGTGAGTAGGGGCTAGGAGATTAAATAAGGGCCAAAACGGCCTCCCACAAATTCAGGCCTAATGGCCTTTTAACATATATATATATATATATATATATATATATATGATCCTGAGGAACGTTTGGGTGACAAACTGAAATGTTGATCTCTTAATTGTAGAAAATAAAAGTTATGTTTTAGTTTTAATACTATTGGAGTCCTGGGAGTGCTATCTCTATGCTACTTGGTTATATTATGCTGATAAGCACCAGACAAAGACACCAGTAAGTTGGAGTGCAAGACTATTTATATATATATATATATATATATATACACCCTGTTCCAAATTATTATGCAAATTATATTTTTCTCATTTACTTAAATAATTGATGTAAATAACAGTCAGCATAATTCTCATGTTATCAGCTATTAAGAGTACAATTCAAATTTTATTGAACAAACCTCCTAATGATAACAGTATTTTTTTTTTAAACATAAAAAACTTACAATGCACTGTTCCAAATTATTACGCACAGTAAGTTTCAAAACACTTTATAGGTTGTAAAGAACTGCAAATTGTAATTTGTTGTGTTTGCAGCATATTTACTGAAATCAAAAGCTATTTCAATCAAACTTATAACAACATTTTAACTTTTTAAACATTTTAACAGGTCACGTTACATTTTAACATAGGACTCCTTATTTGCATCCATTGAACTTGTGGGTTTTTGGACAGTTTCTGCTTGAATTTGTTTACACGATGTCAAAATAGCTTCCCAGAGCTGCTGTTTGGATGTAAACTGCCTCCCACCCTCATAGATCTTTTGCTTGAGGATGCTCCAAAGGTTCTCAATAGGATTGAGGTCAGGGGACGATGGAGGCCTCCTTATCACCATAGCAGCCATTGATGCAGAGGTATTCTTTGCAGCATGAGATGGTGCATTGTCATGCATGAAGATGATTTTATTACGGAAAGCATATTTCTTCCTTCTGTAACAGGGAAGAAAGTGGTCAGTCAGAAACTCCACATACTTTGCAGAGGTCATCTTTACACCTTCGGGGACCCTAAAGGGGCAGACCAGCTCCATGATTCCCGTCCAAAACAAGACTCCACCACCGCCATGCTGACGTCGCAGCCTTGTTGGAACAGGGTTGCTGTCCACCAACCATCCACTACTCCATCCATCTGGACCATCTGCTCTACTTTTGTGAGTATTTTAGTTTATTTTACAATTTTATGTATACTTACATATTGCCCTTTGTGTTTGTCCTTTTTTCTTTTTGATATTTCACATTGGAACCTTGAAACAAGCAGAGTGGGATACTCCTCAGTGAGTGAAAAGGAGTTTTTATTATTATTGTGTTTTTTTCATATTTTTGCACATTTAAACACATAGTGTGTTTTTTCACGGTGCACATTACCACTTTGGGTACAACATATCTCTGCTTTATTAGTTTTATACAATTGCACTTTTATCATAAGGTATTTATTTTTTGACTTAAAGACACAGCACACTTTATTTTCTGGTTTATGTTCTGGCATTTAAGTGGAGCTTTTTCACAATATATAGTGCTTTTTTTTTTTTTTTTTTTTAAATCATTTGTATTTAATTGTAGTATTATATTTTCAGCGCCATACTGTTACTTGTTTTTGTGTGTGTACACTTTATAAAAATTCTTAGGGTCCTATCCTTTACCAACTGTATAAGAACATTTGCTATATTAGAAGTATGGATGAACTTATTGAGAAACTAAGTAATACTCTACCACAATAAAACAACATGCCTCCTCTGCAATCTACTTTAAACAGCAAGTGGCTTCCCTGGCATTTAAAAATATCAGCTAGCAGTGGAAGTAATAGTACTCTTGGGCTTCAAGAACACCCTAGCATGTTAGTGCATTTTTAAAGAATGCAAAGCAGTAAATGGAAGAAATGAGCAGAGATGGAATGAGCGTATCATTCAGTTAATGCCATTTGCCCTACACCTGTTAAACGCAGGCAAGTTACCTCCACAAAACCTTTGTCTCAACCCAATCTGGAATATTTACTAAATTCTGAATTTAAATGTTTATTTTTCCCTACATTCAAATTTATGACAATGATTTTTGGGGGGCAGATGGTATATTTTCATGGGTACTCATCAGTATTTTGTGATATCTTTTTATTTTACTCTTCATGGAGATAAATTGTGAATCCTATTACAACTATTACAACTATTATGGATTATTTGTAAAGTCTACAGATAACCTCAATGCATTTTAATGTGATTTAAATGTTTATTGTGTTTCATTTCAGTGGCAAATCATCAAGTGGTAAGCAATGAAATCATGGTTATTCATGAAAATCTGAAGTGAATTTTAAATTTTATAACATGACAGGAGGCTTTGTATTTGCTTAAACAATCTGTTTTTCTGGCACTGCAGGTCCCCCCTCCCTCCCACCCCCCCATCCCCAGTTGCTGAAGGGGTGAAAACCCCTTCAGTCACTTACCTAAGTCCCCCTCGGAGGTGGTTTCGGGTCACCGCCGCTCCTCCTCTTCAATACGTCGGCCGGTGGGTGAGACTGATCCCACATGCGCATTAGAGCTCTTCATAGGAAAGCATTGAAAATTATTTTCAATGCTTTCCTATGGGGAATTAGGCGACAATGGAGGTCCTCACACAGTGTGAGGATGTCCAGCGACGCTCTAGCACAAATTTTCTGTGCTATGGACCAGGAAGTCAGACAGCCACTAGAGGTGGAGTTAAGCCTGCAAGGTAATTATTGCAGTTTATAAAAACCTGCAATAATTACACTTTCAGGGTTAAGGGTAGTGGGAGTTGGCACCCAGACCACTCCAATGGGCAGAAGTGGTCTGGGTGCCTGGAGTGTCCCTTTAAGTCTCTCTTTACTAGAACTCCACAGCAGCATAGAAAAACAACCAATCAGAAAAAAAGTTTGGTACTATAAAACTCTCCTCCCCATACATCATTTCCTCTTTCTTTGCTGCTCCGCATCAGTAGAGGTCAGAGTACCACTGCCTCCTGCTTTTAGTTGGTGGCTTTGAGATTTCTTTGGTTATTTACAGTATTTATATTGATTTGTTTGAGAATTTACTGTTTCTTGCTTATACACTTTATGCTTTTCCCTTGGGATTTTCCCTCTGACTACTTCTATATTTAGGTTTTCCCTGGGAGTTTGTTTCCTATATACCTAGTGTGGTGCCATATTGTATTGCTCTATCACGATTTCCAGAGATTTCTAGTGTTTTACAGCTCAACTATTGATGCATGTTTCCACTCACTCCTATATTTTGGCAATATTTCTACGTTTATGGCTTGCTCTAGCCATTGTTTTTACTTGCATTCAAACCCTTTCTCCCCTGTCATTATTTTTTGCCGCCCCCTGTTTTCTGGTATTCGGGCTGTGTTGCCTTTCACTCAAGGGTTTCAGGAGGCTACATGCTGGACCTGCCTCCCCTGATCCCCCGAGCTCCGGCGGATTTTTCCCGGTCTCTGGGGTACTCGCGGTCAACCGCAAGTACCCGGCGGCCGGATCCCGCTTCATACGTGGCCGCCTCGCCGTGGCCGACTCCCGCAGAGGACCACGTGCATTCGAACGGGTGGAGGAGGACGCGCTTGCTCGCGGCCCCTCCCCGCCTGTTGAGGTCGGATGGCGATGATTGTTTTGCCCGCTGTGGATCTAACACTGAAGGGGCTAGATCCAGGTGGATATAGACGTTCCTCTTCCTATTAGGAGTCAGTTTGCCTGGACCTCAGGTGCATGGGTCTACTGAATAATATCAGCTTCCTTCCAGGGGCTCCCTGACAATCTCCCTACTACCTTGGGGAGTTTCTATTTATACTATTTAACTGTGCTACACTGGGGAACACGACCTTTGTGCCTGCTGGGCATTGGGACTATCAATTAACTGTTTAGTTGTGTACTCACTTTATTATCCTATCTAGAGGACTATTGTGTTTGGGGTCCTTTTGTCCGCATGATGCCATCTAAACACATGGTGCCCCAGGGTTTATATATATATATATATATATATATATATATAACCAAGAGGGCTGCACTCACCTGAACATGCATACATTCTAGGGTGCTGCTGGGGCCAAAATATAAAAAATACAGAATCCAGCGCACTCGCTTATTCACTGAACAATAATTTCAAATCCTAGAGATTGTAAGAGTTTATTTAAAAACACCTCACCTAGGCAAACAATGATGGGGATTTAGTTACATTATATGATCATACATTGCATAAGCCTGCCAACTACGTCAAAGTACCCCATATTCGGCAGGTCCTATCCTAGTAGCAGCCTAATGCTTGCTCTTATGAGATTAATCCACTTACTTGGTAAATACTTCCTTACTGGGACTCTCTGCAAGTCAAGGCTAAATAGGGCCCTGGAATGAGGCACCTGTAACCAGTGGCGTCTCTAGGATTCATTTTTCGGGGGGCACATGGAGGGCCAGTGACAAAAGTAGGGGGGCACATTTAACCCCGCCCTTGTCGCAGTTTGACCCCGCCCCTGTCGCATGTTAAGCCATGCCCCCGACACAATGTTTTTTGTTTTTTTAATAATACCTGGTGGAGGATTCATTATTTTCCACCAGGGATTATTAAAAAAACAAACACATTATCCTTGATACAGTGCCATAGTTGCCAACATTTGAAAAAAAAATTCCAAGGACATTTTGCAGCACAGCTATCAATTACTGTCTGGGTATAATATCCCTGGACAGTCAGTGCTCTCTGTATAATACAGGGTTGTGTGTATAATAAATTGGGACACTCAGTGCTCCCTGTATAGTGCTGCTCTCTGTATAATACAGGTCTGTTTGTGTATAATATCCCAAGACAGAGAGCAGCACTATACAGGAAGCACTGACTATCCCGGGATATTTTATACACACATATCTGTATTATACAGATAGCTGAGCATATACCCCATGTCCCAATCTCTAGACTACTAGTACCTGTCAACAGCAGCTCCCAGACGCGTGTAACAGGGCTAAAGTGTGCGGCAGCTCACACAGATTTTTCAGCGGTAAAGTGCACTCGCTGGCAGAGCCAAACTGGGAATCCCTGGGAATCCAAAGCAGCTCTGGAAAAAAAACGTATGCCATTCATACAAGTCAAAATATATATATATATATATATATATATATATATATATAGTACAGTAAGCACACAAGCTCACTGACATGCGCAAATAGGCTTACTGACAGACAAAACTCTCTGACTCACACACAAGCTTAATACAGACACTCACTTGTATAAACAGAAGGCTCACTACAAAAGTTCAGGGACACACAAGCTCACTAAAGACAAGCTCACTGACACACACATGCTCATTAAATAGAAGCTCACTGACACACACAAGCAGTACCATTTTAACAGAGTTAAGGGCCCCTGGGCAAAGCAATGCACTGGGGCCCTTCCTACACAACAACTCACAGGAATTTTAATTATTGATAGACTGCTGAGTCCATACACACACACAGACTGCTGAGTCCATACACACACACACACAGATTGCTGAGTCCATACACACACACACACTGCTGAGTCCATACACACACACAGACTCTGCTGAGTCCATACACACACACAGACTCTGCTGAGTCCATACACACACACACAGCCTGCTGA